CAACTCAGCTGTTTAAATGGAGTGAGGAAGCAAGGGTGGCAGAGACACCCTTGGTCAGCGAGGTGTCCCCAAAGCCTGTTCCTGTAGTTAAGGCAGGTGTTGGCCCAAACAGAGACAGAAAGTAACAGGGTCAGGGAAATGCCTGAAATCAACAGCACTCTGGGAGGCTGAGGCAGGAAGATTGAAAGTTTGAGCCCAGCCTGGGCAACTTAGTGACTTAGTAAGGCCCTGTCTCAAAATAAAAAATAAAAAGGGCCGGGGGTGAGCTCAGCGCAAAGGCCCTGGATTTAATCCTCAGCACAGAGGAAAAAAAGAGACAGAGGAAAAAGCGAAAAACCATGATCAAAAGGGAGAGCTTTCTGAGAGAAAGCCCAAAAAGCCCAGCATGGAGTCCAAAGGAGCAACTGAGTTCACAATGCACAGGAAAACAAGTTTCCCGTCACACAGGGCAGGTAAGAGGAATGCATGAGAAACCCAGGAGAAAACCGTTCCCAGGTGTCCCACCCTGCATGCATATGTTCCCTGGCCCCCATGAGCACGTCCCCAGAGCATAGAATTGTGAATCCTCCACACGGCACTGTCACACACCTGTGGGTAGCAAGTTCCTGGACTTGAGCCTGCAGCGGGCACCAAGGAGGGCGCCCAGGGCTGAGCAGAGGACCGCGGTGACAACGAGCAGGACCCCATGGGGCGCGGGGACCGCATGACTTCCATGCCCAAGTGCCCAGAGCCACGCAGCCTCACCAGCAGAACACTTCATCCCTGCACACGCGTGCACACACTCTGTACTCACATGCGAGCTGCATGTGCACACACATCACTCATGAACGAACCACACACAGCAGACACATACACACGCACACACACGCATGCACACCCGAGTTGCCCCCCACTTCCCCACCAGTACCACCTGCACTTCCCAGGCCAGACTTCGTGGCTGGGTGGCTCCCGAAGGCCCCTGCAAGCCTGCCACTCCGTAGCTGCCATTCTCAGCGGTGGCCTCTTGCCAAACACACAAACTCTTTATCAGGCAACAGAGTCTCATTTGGGGATTAGAAGAATAAGATCCTCATTAATAATGCAGGGAGAACACGAAGCTGTTGTCGAGCTGTGTGCTGAGGAAATCAGCTTGGGAAATCTCTCTGTTAGAGAAGTCGCTGGAGGGGACCTCGCAGCACCCACCCCAGTTGGCTCTGGCCGTGGACCACCGGAGGACCCTTATCCCATCCCCGTGATTTCAGAGTGAGCCTCTGCTGTTGATGATCGGAAAAGTGTTAGCACACTTTATGTCTGAGTTACAGATCAACTGAAATCACACTTCTTTTCAACCAAGATGACTCACGAGTTGGGCATGGTGGTGATCCCAGCACTCTGGGAGGCTGAGGCAGGATGGCAAGCTGAGGCCAGCCTGGGCACTGCCCAAAAATTAAAAATTATAAAGGACTGGGTATGTAGCTCAGTGTGGAGGCCCTGAATCCAATCTCTAGTACTTTGAATAAATAAATAATTCACAGACTCTGGCTGTGTGAATATGTACACGGTGCCCAGGGATAGCAGGGGTCCTGATGGCAGAGGGGCCCAAGGGGTGGCAGGGTGAGAATCAGGAGACTCAGGTCAGCCTGCCTTGAACATTGTCACCAGCTGGTCACAGGGCCAAAGCCTCGGCTCTGGTCTGAGCCCACACCTCCTCCAGTGTGTCCCCACCCTGGGTCCCGCACCTTGAAGGCTTCCAGCGCCCCACCATCATTTAGGGTTCTAACGAGTCACCTGGAATCATGCCCTTCCCATGAACAATGTGTGTAATCACCATGTTGTGCAGCACCCCCCCACCCCCCACCCCACCCCCGCTGCACAGGGCTCCTGCGTCACTCGCATGGAAAACCAACAGCACCGCTGCTCTGCTGCTGCCTGTCCCTGTCCCTGGCCTCCACCTCTGGCCTGTGACATACATGCAATCATGTGGTGTGGCCTGGGCCTGGCTGCTTCTACTTAGTAAGGCTCCTGCTTCATTCATGTTGTTCCGTGGGTCTGGCCTGCATTCCTTTTTCTTTTTTTTTGTGGTACTGGGGATACCCAAGGCCTTCCACTGAACGACACCCCCAGCCCTTTACATTTCTTTTGAGGCAGGGCCTCGCTATGTAGTCCAGGCTGGCCTTAGACTCACTCTGTAGCCCAAGGTGATCTCAAACACGGGGCAACCCTCCTCTCAGTCTCCCTAGTGCTGGGGTTCCAGGCATGTGCTACCACACCTGGTTCCCAGTCCTTTCTTTTTTATTTTTTAAAATTTTGAGACAGGGTCTTGGTAGTCTGTAAGTTGCCCAGGCTGGGTTCCAATTTGAGATTCTCCTGCCTCAGCCTCCCAGAGCTGGGATTATAGGCCACCACACGCAGCAGGACCTCACTCCCTTTAAGGCTGAATGGTCCTCCACTGTGGATGGAGAGCTCCTGGGCACCCATCAGACTGTAGGCCTGTGGGCCACTCCTGCCTTCTCGGTTATGTGAATGACACCCAGAGGGCAGCCATGTGCAGGTGCCTGTGTGAGCCCAGGTCTCTTGGATACCTGTCCTGAGGGGATCCGCTCGGTGGACAGTGACTCCGTAGAACTTTCTGAGGAGATACCAGGCTGTTTTTCCCAGGGTGAGAGGGGGGTGCTGTGGCTCAGAGCCCAACAGGTCAGAATCCTGATGAGCACTTACAGCTGTGTGTGCTCAGGCAGGTTACTCAACCTCTCTGGACCGCTTTCCACATGGGTCAGCACCACCTCCCTCCCCATGGCAAATGGATGTGAGGAGGCATCTCGTGCCTGTACCATGCTGCGCACACAGCAGGCGCTGGGCAAGCAGAGGCTGGTGTCATCAGTCACCCAGCCGACGCCTGATTTCCTGGTGGTGACAGTGGTCCCTCAGCAGGGCCCAGACTCGCCTGTGGCCCCCTGGGCCCTCCAGGGTGGAGCCTGTCCACACATCATGCCCCCCCAATCCCCTATAGCCCAGTGGTCCCTAGGGATCTGAAGTGAGCCCTCTTGCTCTCCAAGTATGTCCCCCCAGAGGCGACCTGGGGCCTCTGGGGAAGGGAGGGAGCTGCCCTGTTTCTCCCCAGCAGGCGCCATGAGGTGCCCTGCTGGAACTGGTCCTCTCCACTGGCCATGGCCATGTAGCATTCCTACGGCTTCTGCTGGCTTAGCCGGGGCAGAAAACACAGGGGCTGGGGTCCCTCGTGGGGCTCCGTCAACACGAGCAGTCCTGCCAGGAGCAGCTCCGGCTGCCAGGAGGGAGGAGGCTGGCTCTGCATCTCAGGTGCTGGGGAAGCTGGGGTGGCCGAGGGCAGGCTGCTTCCAGGGAGCCCAGACAGTGCCTGCAGGGCCAGACACCGCCCCTGCACAACCTGGCTCCTCCAAGGCCATCAGACTTGATCTCAAGGTGCAGGGACCCATCGAGATCACAATGCCCAGGAGCCCCCTCCCCCATGTGGTTCTCTAGGAGTGACACATCCCAAGGTGCAGGGTCACTGTCCTCTCATGCAGCATCACCCTAACCTGGGATATCACTTAGTTTCAGACATGCAGGGGCCAAGCAGTTGATGGGACCACAGGCATGAGTAGTGAGCCACACACCTCTCTCACCATCAGGACAGGAAGAAGGGTCCTAAATAAGCCATGTTTTGCTGGGACCAGGGCCTTTGTATGGAGCTACATCCTTAGCCCATATTTAGTGACAGGGTCAATAATTCCCCAGGCTCGGCTCAATACTGGGATCCTCCTGTCTCAGCCTCCCAGTGCTGGGATTATAGAGGTGTACCACCGTGCCTGCTTATGGTCACCCTTGAAACTGGAACCCATATGTTGCAAGGGCCTGCCATCCCCACTGGACAGAGCCATCAGCCAGATCCCTGGCTGGAGGACCCTCGTTTGCTTCCTGTATGCGCAGCTGGAAGCAGTTAGTTTGCAGCCTGCTTCTCCTCTCTGAGCGTCCAGGGTTGCTCTCCACAGGACCAGCCTTGCCCCGCACCTTCCTGTGGGACATGGCAACAGCAGGGCACTGGCTTCCAAAGGGAGCATTGGCCACTGGGGTCGATGGGGCACAGCTGTCTCAAGGCTGGGTAACCACCTGTCTCCCTTCCTTCCAAGGGGCTGAGACTCGAACACTCACTTCTGTTTAAATGGGGTGGGGCCGAAGGGGTGTGGAGGTGAGGCCACCCACGGGAAAGGCCGACTGGCCCCTGGCAGCAGGGATGGAGTGGGGTGAAAGGCTGTCTCTGTGACCTCTTCACTGCCCCCAGAGCAAGGCACCCCAGAAGCAAGTTCTCAGGCAGGCATAGTGGTGTGCACCTGTATAAACCCCAAACCTGGGAGGCTGAGGCAGGAGGATTCCAAGGACAAGCTCAGACTCGGGTACTCGGCAAGACTTCCTCAGGGCCGGGGATATAGCTCAGTAATGCCACCTGCCTTGCAAGCACGAGGTCCTGAGTTGGATCCCCAGTACAAAAAACAAAACAAACAAAAAAACTCAAGAAAAATTAAAAAAGGGCCAGGAATTTAGCTCAGTGTGAAGGTCCTGGGTTCAATCCCCAGTGACACACACACACACACACACACACACACACACACACAGAGAACCCCATCTTGTTCACAAAGTCTTTGCCTTTGCCTGTCTTTGAGAGCTTTACTTATTTTGTCTTCCAGCAGACTGTGTCTGTTTTAATATTCAGATCTTTGATCCATTCTGATTTTAGTTTGGTGCATGATGAGTGGTATGTGTCCAGATCCAATCTTCGGCCTGTGGGAAGCCAGTTTTCCCAGGACCGTTAGAGGCTCTTTCCTCCAGCAAGGGGATGTGATGCTTTTGTCAAAGGTTGCTGTGAGTGCCTGGAGGTTATTTTTGCCAAATGCAGAACAAAGAATAGATGCACAGCCACAACACATTCGAGACTCGAACAGCTTTGCCAGAAAAGAAAATGTAAAAATACACTTAACAACTCAGTGAAGACTAAAACATATTACTTTTCGGATTTTTTGGGTTTTGTGTCTTTATTTTTTTTCTAAGGAGGGAAATCAGAGGTGTGGAGAATCACAACAGTCCCCTTATGTTCTCAGCTTTAAGAAGGGTTAGTTTTTCCAAATCAGAGCCGTTCTCAGGCGGACACCGGGGAGGAGAAAGGCCTGCTTATGTCGAGGGCGGCTCAGGGTCAGTTTGTGCCTCCCAGACTCGCAGCACAGGCTGGAGGAGAACGAGTGGGGGCTGGAAAGACCTGCGTGGCATCGCCATCGTGCTGTGCTGCAGGGAGAAGGGACTGGGCAGACCCCAGGCTCCCGTGCCCACCACCTCCTTCCCATGCAAGGACAGAGCATGCTCGGGAATAACACAGCTGGGCACTCAGCTCCTGACCAGGGCCGATGCGCACTGGAACCAAGCGATCTGTCACTGTGCACCCAAGGGGATGGGGGCATCTTTATGCTGGCACCACGAATGACCATGGCAAGGAGCAAGGAAGGAACATACTTCCCATGCTCGACAGTTACACTTTCCTCTGCTAGCTGTGGGGACACAGGAGTCTCTTCTGGTCTTTCCACTGAAACTAAGTCAGAAGTCACCAGCCCTCCTGGCAAGGAGCAGCGTCCCAGGCTCCCGGCTCTGAGGACAGGCTAGGTGGCGAGATGCTGGCAGTCTTAGCCATCTTGGGCCCCAGGTGTGCATGCCTGGGGGAGGGCAGGCCCGCGGCTGGGACCTCATGGTGAACAGCACATTGGGTGGCACTGGGTGACCAAAGCTTGGTGCAGCCCACAGGCAGTGCACGGTGTGCAGGACTCCCACGGCACCATATCCAGGCCCACTCACATGTGCTCACTACAGGCAGCATTAGGAGCAGGAAGGGCAGGAGTCAGACGCCCACACAACCTCCAGTGTGGACGACACAGATACCTACCTCTTTCCCACCCAGCCTGGGGTTCAGTTCTGAAAATGTGTGTCTGCCCCACAACGTGCTTCACTGTTCATGTGACTGGATGCCCACATCAGCTAGGCACTGTTCTGGGTACAGTCACACTGTAGCTGGTGACAAGCCTGGGAGGGAACAGGTTCCTACCACAGACCAGACCTGAGCTTGGGAGCCCTGCAGCTCGTGCTGGGTGCTGGTACAGCTGACTCCCCGTTTAATCCAACTCTGTTCCACAGCTTTAGAAAACATAAAAGAAGCCCAGCATGGGGGCAAATCCCTGTAATCCCAGCCCTCAGGATGCTGAGGCAGGAGGATCGCTGTGAGTTTGAGGGCAGCCTGGGCTATACAGTGAGTCTAAGACGAGCCTCAAGTACACGGTGAGACCCTGTCTCAAACTGAAAAATGAGAAAAAGATAACACAAGATTTGGTCCTAATTCACAAAAGTATATTAAAGAAGTTTCTGTGTTTTGTTCCCAATCCCTGGGCCTATCATCTTTTTCTGGAAAAATACAATAAAAAACTCCACTGCTGCGTGGTCTGTGGCCCCATCCCTCCTGTCCACGCCCAAGGCCTGTCTGTGATGCAGGGGGCTCCTGACCTTCTCCCAGTGCCTAGCAAAGGACACACAGCTGTATTTTTCGAGCTCCACGGTCCTGTCTCCAACGGCACCTGGGGCTTTCTGAGATCTGGGAGGAAAAGCCTGCCCAGCCCTGGGGCCTCCCCCTGCAGGAGGCTGGGGCGACAGTCTCGGGACAGGCCGCCTTTCTCCCTAACTGCCCCGTGTTCCAGGGCTGGAAATGGAGGCCAGCGAGTTCCCCACGTCCTCTGGGTGACCAACCTCAAGGGAAGATGACAGCATCCTGGCAAAGCACATCTGGGCCCCAGATGCTCGCAAGTCTGCCCGCCAAGCAGGCACCGCACAGGCCCCGTTCTAACACAGGTCCCAGCGCGCTCTTCTCTTTGGTCCCCAGCCCAGGTGCCCAAGTTTGTCCTGCTTGCCTCTGGCCATCTCTTCCCACAGGCACTCGCCTGGCTTTGTGACTCTAAGGGACAGGTCCAGGCCCCGCTCTGGTGACTCTGAGGCTCTTCCTAGGCGACGCCATGAGACCTCAAAACTTCTACTGCTCCGTGCTTGGCTGGAAGTGCTGAGTTCGAGTTGTCTGAGTTTGTTTTAATTCTACGTAAATGAAAAGGAAAGCTCGGTAAATACTGCAGCCTGTGACCACGATCTCTCGCTTGGCCGAACGGATGCTCTAGGACTGCAGCAGACAAGGCACACGGACCTGGCAAGGGTGCCCACAGCCACCGCCCCCTCGTGCCTCATCTCTCATGGCCCGATAGGGGAGGGCTCCTGCTAAGACACCCTCTGCGGGTTACTTTTGTGCTTGCTTGGGCATGGGGACAAACTCTCCTTCTACAGTCACAGTTACTCAACAGAAAAGCAGAGGAGGAGAAGAGGCGGTTAAGGGCCCAGGACACCACTCTCTTTGGCTCCAGGTACTCCAGGCACGGGTTCAAGCTCCCTGACCGTCAGGGAGCGAGTTTCAGCACAGAAAGAACCTGTCTCTCTCCCAGTGTCCACTCGGAGAACAAGGTCAAAAATGAAGTCCACCACAGAAAAATCCCCAAATAATCCAATTTGGAGAGAATTTAATTAACAAAATAAAGTGGAGGAAAATGGTCCAGATGGGGGTGCAGGGCAAGAGGACTCCTGCCCAAGGCCGACGTGTGCCAGCACCCCGCAGAAATAGCTTTGACAATCAAACCAGTGTGCCATCGCCACATGTAGCCACGAAGCCAGAGGACCAGGCTCTGCTGCGCAGGCGGCCAGCTTCTGGGCGCTGGCTTAGCACATCACCCATGCAAAGCAAGAAGACTTTGGGCTTCACCTTAACTTTGGCAAAAAAAAAAAAGGAAAAGAAAAAGAGAAAAGAAAGAAAAAAAAGAGAGAAAACAAAGAGTTAAAATTCATAAGCAGGATTAAAAGCCGCTGCAGTGAAATGGTGCATCTTCTCGGAAGTATGGAGTTAGACTAGCACTACGGGTTTCCAAGTCTCGGCCACTCTCTCCCCAGTCCAGGTCAAAGTCCTTAGCAGCAACGCAGAGTCCCCTGCTGAGCCTGTCCTCCACTAGTCTGTCCTCAGGATCATGGGAGGGTGCTCGCTATCCTCGTCCAGGCGCAGGGAGCTGGCCTCGTCCTCCAGGCACATGCCGCCCACGGCACCCAGGTCGTCGGTGTAGGCTGCAAGGACACAGGAGCCACCCTTAGGGTGCTGAACGGGAGGTGCAGGTGCTGGGGCTGCCCCGAGGAAACCTCAGCCCACACGCCAGACTTCTGAACGGAACCGCTCCTCTGTCTAACAGGGTCTCTGAAGCCTCAGGCAGCTCAGTGTAAGACCCTTCAGCCTCCCACATTTATCAGTGTCAAAATGAGGCGTGCACAATGAACAGGCAGGCTGTGTGCTTTCCTGGCAAACCAGGAGAGGCTCAAATTGGCTATATGGAAGCTGGGCCTGACAGGGCTGTCTACTGCAGGGCATGGGGGGCAGGATGCCACCCCGGCATCTCTCAACCAAGGCCCCAGGGCGTGGAGAGCCAGCACACATGGAGGGTCCAGGTGCAGGTGACTTCAGGGGCCTGTCTATGTGCAGCCCTGCCACACGGCCATGCCGGTTTCCCTCCTGCCCCTGCCATGGAAGGACGGCCACTTTTCCCTTTTCAATACCACATGGGAGGTGGGAACACCAGTGACGACACACCAGGAAAGACCGCCCTGCAGCGGCAATTACCTTCCAGGTTTGCGTCCTGCCCCTTCCCAAGCCTCGTGGGGGAAGAGGGCACGTAAGCACCTTTCGCCGCGCCACAGGCCTGTGTTACTAACGGGCAGTCGTGAGAGGCAGAGTCTACGATTTCACTGGTCGTCGTCTCCATACTGCCATCCAGCCTACAGAGAGCCACAGGAGCAGGCGTGAGGGCTTCCAGGACAGCTCAGCAGTCCCAACACGCCAGCAACAGGCCACTCACAGACGGACGCTGCTGTTCCTTACACTATGGCCACTGACCCACCACCCTGGGCATCTGCCCCCTGGCATTTCACATGGCAAGCCCAGTGAACCAAGTTATAGCAAGCAAGGCAACTTATTTTAAAGGGGATGACCAAGGATTGAATTCAATATTAAGGAAACAGCTTTTCTACTTCCACGCTGACTATGAAAGTATTATAGGGTTGTAGTTAGAACTTTCAAATAAGAAGTATGAAAGAGACAGTCAAACTACATCACTTCCCAACTCCCCAATGAACGGGTGTGACTCTCAAACCCTATGTTCTCCAGTGATCCATGTGGCCTGGGGAGGCCACTGTGCCCTGGCTTTTCTCGTTTTCAAAACTCTAAGCCCCAGCTTTAGGCTGAGCCGGGCCTCCTGCTGTTCTGCACACAGGGGCACCCACAGCACAGCCCTGTCTTCCTGCTCTGCTGCAGCCAAGGGGCCCTGGTGCCAGGTGGAATCGGTTTCATCTGGGAGAGGGAAGCCTCCAAGGGCACAGGCCAGCACACGGAATCACTATGGTGTCCCTGGTTTGTACCCACGATGGTGGCCGCAGGGAAGCTCACCTGTGCTGTCGCATCAGGGCACACTCACCGCCCTCCTGAGGGTCCAGGTTGTACATGTACAAGTAGCCATCCGAAGCGCCCACCAGTAAACGGGGGATCTTCTGAATTCTAGTGGGAATCAAAGCATTCACATCACTCACATTCTGGAAGCACAGCTTTCACAAACACACCTCCTGACCTAGGAGGCTCCTGTTGGCTGCACTGGGAGAACCCGCCAGGCATGCACAGACCCGGCAGAAGAGGAGGTCTCTAGGAGGAACTGTGCATGTGTCCCAGGCAGCAGGTTATAAGGCAGGTGTCCGGGACTCAGCTATGTGCTCAGCGGTGGGGTGACGGCACGTGCTGCCCAGGCTGGCTCCCCGTCATGCCTGTTTCTGTGGCCCAAAGCGTTGATTTACTGTTTTTCATCAACACTAAATACTCAGGCTGTGGATTTAGCTCAGTGGAGTCGCTGACTGCTTTGTAAGCGCAAGGTCCTGAGTTCGATCCCAGGTACAAAACAAACAAACAAAACACTAAATACTCAACAAAAACAGCAATGGAAGGTTCTGTGGCCCCACACAGAGGACGCACTCAGGTTCCGGGTCTGCAAAGGCCCACCACGGTGCTTCCCAAACAACTCCCCGACAAGCACTGTGGGACAGCAAGCTCAGGAGGTGGGCGCCTGTCCCCACTCACGTGGCTAAGGAGCAGATGTTCTTGTGGCCACAGAAGGGCAGGCGGACGGTGGCGAAGGCTCTGCCCTGGTTGAACATCTCCGTCACTTGTGAGGGTAGGTAGCTGGTGGACGCCATGAGCACCTTCCCGAAGTAGCCAGTCCAGGTGGTGGGCTCCTCAGGGGGTCTGCAGGGACGGGTCACCGGACATGTGAAGTGGCTCCCACCAGAGGCATTTGTCCCATCACTCACGAACAGCCCCGAACCCACAATGGCAAAAGCTCTACTCTAAAAAGGGGGCTGTGGGAAAACAAAGGCGCAGGCCAGGGCACGCCTCCCGGGCGGGGCTGAGTCAGAACTGGAGGAGCCAGGCTTTCCTCAGCCGTTTCCTAGGCCTCTCACTGCAGCACTGTGGACTGAACCAAGGCCTCCAGCATACGAGGTAAGTCTATCACTGAAGCATATCCCCAGACTCCCATTTTTGTTTTTGTTCATCTCATGTATGTTTTTCCTTTTTGGAACCAGGAATTAAACTCAAGGCCTTGTGTTTGTCAGGCAGGTGCTGTGTTGCTGAGCTACATCCCCAGCCCTCTCATGTATGGTTTTTTTGGGGTATCGGGGATTGAACTCAGGACCTTGTAGTTTCGAGGCAGGCACGGTGCCACTGAGCTACATCCCCAGCCCCTCTCACGTATGTTTTTAGGGTTATGCTAAATACTCCTTTGACAGTGGTTGGAAAGCTGACACAGGAAGACTGCAAGACTGAGTCCGGCCTGTCTGACAGTCCACCCTGAACGACGAATGAGACCCTGTCTCAGGAAGTTGAGAGCCAGGCGTGGTGGCATGTTTCTGTAATCTTAATACTCAGGAGGCTGCTACAGGATTGTTCAAGGCCAGCCGGAAATATACAGGGAGACTCTGTCTCAAAAACCACAAAACAAAACAAAAACAAACCCACAAAAGAGGGCCCCCCATAAGACTCAGCCTAAACAATACCGACCCTAATAGGATATTCTTTTCAAAATCTAAGGAAAAAATAGAAGCATATTGCTCACTACACCTATTCATGGTACTGACCACTCTGAGACTGAACTAGCCCCGTCTCTCCGCTGAGGGTGGGCTTGTCCTTCCAGTGGGTAAAGAGGGGACAGGGTGCTGGCCACAAGGTGCCTGTGTGGTGCCTGTGTGGTGCCTGAAGCCCCAGCCTGGCCTCATCTTATTTTTTTGAGACAGGGTCTTGCTATGTCTCCTAGGCTGGCTTTGAACTTGCAGCAGTCCTCCTGCCTCAGTCTCCCAAGTGCTGGGATTACAGGTGTGTGCCACCATGCCCACCCCTGGCCTCATCTTCTGGCCCTGCTGCCCCGACCAGAAGACGGGGAGTGGGGACCACGTGCCGTGTGCTGTAGCTGGTGTGGTGTCACCAAGCCAGGAAGGACGGCACTGGCCAACGAGGCAGGAGGCAGGGTGGCTTTATGCTATGCTTCTCTCTGGACAGCTGGGGAGAACTTGGGGGCCAGGTGTGGCTCAGCGGTACCGCGTGCACCTAGCATCTGCAACGCCCTGGCTCCCATCCCCGGTGCCCGGCTCAGTCCCGAGAACACTGCGGATAAGGAAACAGACCCCCCCTTTCAACTCACTTCTCCTTCACAGTCTCAAGCTTGAAGATGTGCACAGTCTCAGTGTTGCTAGACGCGGAGAGGAACATGCCGTCCATGCTGAAGGCCAGCGAGCAGATGCTCACACACCTGGGGGACAAGGCACGTGAGGGGGAGGGACAGCCCCGCTGGGTGAACTTGGGTCTCCTGATGCCCTCTTACTCCTCTCCAGTACCTCCTCGGAAACTTGAGAGAGGAAAACGCTCCGGAGGTGAAACCAAGTCTGAGCAATTCTGTGACATCCCTAGACGGCCCATTTCCTTTGCAATCCCAGATAAGGGGAATCAGGACGGTACAGAGTCATCTTTGGTTGTATTAGGATGGATTTAGAACCCTGAGATTAGTAAAACAAAACAAAACAAAACAAAACCAACCCAATACTTTAAATCACTGAAGTTTTTATCATGCCAGAGAGTAAATCAGAAAGCTTGGTGATCCTTATACATAGGGCACAACTTTCCACATGCTAATTCTCCACAATGTATCTTATTACACATCACTGAAAAATCTCAAAGCCATTACATAAACAGGAACTTTCTCCTAACTCCAGGAACGTAAGGTACCACTTGTGCTATTTGGGAGTGTTTCACTCAATCCGACAGACATTTACAGTGTTTACACCGTACCACCCCAACCAGAGGCCAGGGGTAACGAAGGAGGCAGGTGCGGTGGGGCCTTGAGGGTGCTGGTGTGGGTGTGCACGCATGCACGTGCAGGTACTGTCTGCCACAAGTAGAAGTGCGCTGCGAAGAACAAGTGGGAGTTTCTGGCAAGGTGCAGAGCACTGGGTCTCACTGCGTGAGAGTCCAGCAGAGGCTGACCTGACAGCACTGTGGGACCCACAGAGCCAATTCTGCTCTGCTGAGGATCTGGGCGTGCGTGCAGCGCGGCTGTGACAGGAAGGGGCGGTGGCAGGACTATGGGCCTGGAGGAGGGTCATCCCACAGGCAGGGGCAGGGAAGGCTTCGGGTGGGCCGTGACCTAGCTATATTGACCTCTTCTGCCAACACCAGTGAGTAGGAGGTCGGGAGTGCAGCAGGAGTGACCTGGACACACAGGAGGGAAGGAAGGGCCAAAGCCTGGCTGGGCCCTGGGGCTGTTTACCATGCTCAGGTGCAGAGGGACCAGGAGCAGATGGGCACATTCCACCTGCTGTCTAAGGTGCCCAGCATCAGTGGGCAGGAGCACGAGGTGAATCATCTGGAAAGGGGGTTGCGAGGAAGTCCAAGGAACATAGGAAGCAGGACAGCCAGGCAGGCAGTCGGGAAGGGACTACAGCATCCGGTTTGCCTTTGAAATGGGGACACTGAGACACACTCCCTCTGTCTGTGGGGCAGTTACTCCCCGTGGTGACTTCCGGCCAGTCACAGAGCAGCAGGGAAGGGGAGCTGGTGCAGCGCTGGGGGCAGAGATGGTACACAGGAATGTGCTTGCCCCACACTGTGGGGCGGGCAGGGGACCAGTGGGGTCCCCAAAATTCTGGGCGCCTGGCCCCTCTCTGCACAGGGAACCCCAGACACTCAGCTACCTGGCGTGCTTTCATGAAAGTGCTCTCTACCTGCCCTGACCAGACTGACTCTGAACGCCAGTCAGTCATCCCAGCGGGTGGACAAGGGCTTTGTATGGAACTAGAATTCCGCTGCTATCCCTGTAAGTCACACTTGTTGGGTCACAGATAATTGCAACCAAAAGCCAGACACAAGCTCCAGAGTCAGCCCAGGGAATTACACACTTTACCTCTTCACTCCTCTCCGGAACTCAAAGAGTTTTTGTCCCTCTGGAATGGAAAATACCCTAATCACGGTCCCCTGCAACATTCAAAGAAAAAAGGCAGAATTGAAACTGAGTAAACAGACCTTTCTATTTCTTCTGCATCAGACAACAAACGAAGCCTGTGGCCCACTTGCAGTGACAGCACCGTCCTGGGAGAACCCTGGGGCCTCTCCTCCATGCCTTGCTCCTGGGTCGAGCCCACAGCCCTGCAGGTCACCCTGAGCAGCCCCCTGCCCCGCCTGGGGCGTGGACCCAGCAGCACACCTGCCTCTCTGTCAGCCTCCTTCAGCTCACTGTTATTCTAAACGTGAGGGGAATGAAAGTCATTTAAGCTATTATAATTTGTGGGCTGGAAATTTTCCCTGTCTGCCTTAGAAGGAGTAAATCCCAACTTGACAAATTGCCAGGACATATTAAAATGAACTTTCACTAAGAGAAAAAAAACGTGAACACTTGGTGAGCTATGGCATTTCCCTGCTTTACAATGAACAGCCTGAAGACCCGACCTTCCCCGTCTCTCTCCGGTCTTCCTTACCTCAAGCAAGTTAATGGACACTGTGCACGGCTGAGATGCAATGGGGACACGTGTGAGAGTAAGTAGGAGCTGGAAGCCAAGAAGAGAAGTGAACAGGAATTCCAACACCAGACTATTCAAGGACTTCTGTTAAGCGTTGGCATTAAAATAGCACAAAAAGAAACAGAGAGGCAAACAAAAGGGAAACCTTGCAACAGCCTGCATTTCAGATTTGTGGGGTGGGAAGAATTATTCAACCTTCTATTTCACACCATACAAAGTTTAGAAGGTTCAAACTGGTAAACAGAAAAATGGTTAGAAATACCTTACATGTTTATAAATAGCAAGGGCAGACCACCTAAATGCAGCACACAAAGCAGCCATTTACCTAACTTGAGGTGGGCCACGGATGGGCCACAGTGCAGCCCGCAGGAAGCTGGCCCTGGATGGGTGAGGCAGCCCCTTGCAAACATGGGGCTAAAGAGCGGTGGTTCTCTCTGGATCAAGGACACCACTAAGTAAGTAACTCTTGGAGAATTAGAGAGATATGATGTTCTATGCACAAAAGCTACCAAGGCAAAGGGCTTCCTTCTCCTTTACAGCTCAAACTTTGTAGACATTCATTCATTCACTCATGCATTGTACTTCGGACTGAACCCAGAGCCTTTGGACTGAGCTACATTCCCAGCCCTTTTTTGACGCAGGGTATCACTAAGTTGACCTCAAACTTGTGACCCTTCTGCCTCAGCCTCCTAGAGTGCTAGGATTAGAGGTGTAGGCCACCAAGAGCAATCTGCTGTGTCACTAGTTAAGGGCTGCCTGGGGACCACATGATGGTAAGCTCCTTGAAAGCAGGATTAAGTCACATGCTTTGGTGGCCTGGCCCCAGAACATAGGCTGAGAGGCCCGGCGATATGATCCCACAAACAGGAGTCTGTTTAAATGCAAATGAAATGTTTGTTCTTTACCGTCTGGAAAAAATTATTCTACTTTTAGTGGCTTTGAAATTCCATCAAGCGCTTTAAGGACCAAGAGCTAATAAGAAACATAACGGCAGATTTTGATTAAGGGGTAACGGTTTCATTCCACATGCCTGGAGGGACAGGGAAGGGACGTGGGCTGGCCTATCACACAGGGGTCCAACCCTGGGCTTGCCTGGGCCACACTGAGTGAAGAGGAGCTGTGTTGGGCCGCATATGAAATACATAACATAGGAAATGCATACAAGTAATAAGATTTCCTTTTAAAAATATTTTAACTTACTAAATTATCTGATGAAACAGCACAAGCCCAGGTTTAATAATAAAAAACCTTGTATGTCCGCTTAGTGAGAACAGACAGACACTTCCTTCCCAGGAGCACACATGCAGGCAGGCTGAAATACAACGGACAGTCACTGCTGTACCTCATTTGCCCAGGGCACAAGTGCCCGTGGCGTCTGAGGCCCAGAGCTTCAGGGGGATCACTGTGTGCTAGGCCACAGGGGGTGGGGTTACACTGCCCTGGCCCTTCCCTGCCAAGTGCCCTTGATGCCCACACAGTTCATGCAGGAGTGTGCGTAATCAAGTTATATGAACACTGAGTTTATGGCCTGTGGGGCTGTCGGGCTTAGAGACCAATCCTGACAGGGCCCAATGGGATGACCCTGGGCAACTGCCCTGAGCCTTCAGCATAATGTGGGAGAATGCTTCCACTGAGATCAAGTAACATAAGGAATACACAGAAAGTCCCTGGGAAGTGGGACTGAGGGGAGGAAGAGCTGACTTGAGAGGGGCGGGTGTTTTAGGATTTCAGTGAGAAGAAAGTGACAATCTAACAGGTACAAATTCCCTATGATGAATGTAATCATTACGTACATCTAAAATGTACCAATAAATGTTTTGCTTAAAAAAGAAAAGAAATGAAAATGAAAATCTACGTGCAGTGGGCAAGTGCAGAGGACAGGTGCTCAGGAAAGAACAAAGACAAGAAAAGAACTCGATCTCCAGGAGACGGAAGCGCCGGGGACAGAGCCTTGGAGAAAGCAGGGACTGTAGGTCTAAGCTCGGAAGAGCACAAGGGCCTGCTAGCATCCTGCTGTCAGGCCGAAAGTGTGTCACAGCTGGCCGCTCTGTACTGTGCGTGCAGATGTTTAAAGAAGGTCACTTGGAGCTAGATGGGTGGTATGGCCTACAGTCCCAGGACTCAGTGGGGCTGAGCAGAAAGAGCCCAAGCCTGGGAGTTCCAGGCCAGCAAGGACATTGCAGCAATAACCTACCTTAAGAGGCCACAGGCCACATCTATGGTCCTTCTCCTCTCAGAAAAAAGCTATTTTCTTTTAAAAAATTTTTATTACCCATGTTTGCAGCACATGTTTCCATTCCTTGTGATAAAAAAAAAAAAACAAGCTATTTTTTAACCACATCTGCTTTTCATAGCCCTGTAGCAGCCAGGGATGCTCAGTGTCATCCACACTGATAAACGAAGCACTGACTCAATCAGTGGCTCTGGAGTTAGGGCTTGGAATGTGCAGCATGGCGACACAGCAGTGAGCGCACTCCCACAAGGGACTGCAATGGGTGCCACCACCAGCTTGGGGGCACACAGGACTGCCGCGGTGAGGGTCTCTGCTTACAGCTTGGGCCTACTGTCACAGAGAGGCTAGTGTAGGAGGAACGGGTGGCCAGCCACCCCATTATGGAAGACAAGAGGACCCCTGGAGACAGACTTCCACAGCACCACAGCGGGGTGACCTGTGAACGTGGGCTTCTGGGAGGAGATGGCTGTGTGCAGTGCTTGCTGATGCCAGGCACTGGGCTCAGCGCGCTCCCTGCACCCGTCTCAGTGTTCAGAATCCATCAGAAACACAGACAGCAACAGCAAAATGACCTTAAGTCCTGAGTGCAGGTGAGGAGAGCCACTGCTCTACCCTCTTTTTTTCGGTGCCGGGCATCGAACTTGGGTCCTTGGACTTGCACAGCAGGTGGCAAAACCACTGAGCTAAATCCCCAGCCCCGCTACCCTCTTTAGAGTGAGACAGCCGGGGTCTGCGAGCTGTTCTGGGAAATTCCTTCCCTAGGTCTGAAGACACGGCTGTAGTAAGTGCTCTTAAAATCAATTATGAGAAACTAGCCTGTGCACCTTTATCGTTGGTCCTCTGCCTGAACTGAAATGACTTCAAAACTGGTTTGCAGGTGGGCATGCTGGTGCATGCCTGTAATTCCAGCACTTGGGAGGCAGAGGCAGGAGGATCTCTATGAGTTCAAGGCCAGCCTGAACTATGTATCAAGATCATGTATCCAAATCACTCCCCACAAAACAAACAAAAACAAAAACAAATAAAACTGGTTTGTAGAAAGCATCTGAATGCACTTTGTTAAAAACAGTATTTACACAGCCCTAGATGTGAACTTTGGCCCTGCTGGTGGGCTCCAGCAAGCATCATACCCTAGTCAGGCTCACCTCCAGTAAAGTTCATGTTGTACATGCAATGATGAAATCTAAAGGTTAAATACATTATATATTCACTTAAAAGAAAAAGAAAAAAAAGAGCCAGGTGTCATGGCCCACACGTGTAGTCTCAGCAACTCAGGAGGCTGAGGCAGGAGGATTGCTCAAGGAGTGAGACCAGCCTGGGCAGCACAGTAAAACCCTATCTCAAAAATGAAAAACAAAAACCATACCTCCCTGAATCAAAGAAAGCCAAAAAGGCTACATTCTTTATTTTCCCCCCTCTTCAGTGCTGGAAATTGAAGCTAGGGCCATACATGAAGCTACAGCCCCAACCCTCTTGAGAGAGGGTCTCAATAAATCACTAAATTGTCCAGGCTGGGTTTGAATTTGAGATCATCCTGCCTCAACCTCCTGAGTGCTGGGATCACAGGCCTGTGCCAGACCTGGCTAAGCCACATCATTTAGACCCAGAAATTCTTTCTGGAATCTCTTAAATTAACCATTAGAAATTCACATAGAGCTAAGTACAGTGGCACACACCTATAATCCCAGCAGAGACAGGAAGACGCAAGTTCCAGTCCTGCCTGGGCAACTTACCAAGACCCTGTTTCATAAAAGAAAAGGACATAAAGGAAGGAGAGGAAGGACACTGAAATGTATTTAGATTGGCTGGATAACAGAACTGTCTTTGCCTATTTACACCTTTCATTATTTTCTAAATTCTCCACCCCAAGACATAAGCATCCCAGCCTGGCTAGGAATGTAGTTTCCTCTCTGTGTACTTTGGGATTTCCACCAAGCCTGTGAGCTTTCTTGTGACAATGGGACAGTGACAGTCTGTCCCCAAGGCTGTGTGCTGAATGCTGGCGCTGCTGATGGGTGGGACCTTAAGAGGTGGGGCCCAGAGGGCAGGAAGAAGTGGGATCAGTGCACTGTCCTCACAGGCTGCCCTGAGGTGAGCAGCTCTGCTCTGGCCTGTGCCCATGTTCTCAACTGCAGCCCCACAAGCCCTTCCTCCTTGGAAGGCATTTTGTGGCAGGGATGGAAAGTGGACTCACACACGTGTTTCCCTCACTCCATGGCAGCTGATCGGCGTGGTCACCACAGCTCCTCTGCAAGGCTGCATTACAAAAACCTGTCTGGTACCCTGTGTGTGAACGGAGCTGGAACTGAGGTGTTCAAGCCACTTTCTCCGAGGCCACATCAGACCCACCTTCTCGGAAGCAGTGGCAAGTTTGGTTCCACTCGCGTCAAAAGCCAGCGCTGCTAAAGGACTGTCGTGAGCTGGGATCATGTTTGCAGCTCTCTGAAATGGGAAACCGACAAAATATGACTACCATGCACGAAAGCCTGTGTCCTGTGCTACTGTCTGGCCAGGAGGCCAAAATGCCACCAGGCTGTCACGGAGCCACCACCGGTCAGCAAGAACACCAAACCCACCTGACTGACTGGGGTGGGGCTACGGAAATGCTGCTCGGACTCTGAAAAACACAAAGCACTTTCTCCATCAACGTTTCCATACTCGGGACACCCCATCGAGGGCGCTCAGCACTCAGGTACCCACAGAAGCACCCTGGGGGCAGCTTCCATCAGCCCTGCTCCGTCACTACTGAGACAGAAGCAGTGAAAGCTGTGCGGCTGCCCAAAGATGCTGAAGACCCCAGGCTGCAGGTGCAGGGAAAGACAGTGTGTAACACGTTCCCGCCAGCCTGAGCCACTGGTCACACGTGTAACTGTCCCACTGGGGCGGAAGGGGTTGTCACTGGTAGTGTAAACAAATCTAATCATTTTTATCCATCTTTTTAATAATAAAATTAATAAAGTCACCCAAGAGACAATCACCTGTGTACCACTTGTGGTTCACACTGTCAGGAACGTAACATCCAAATCAGAGCCACCCGGCAGTAAGACTAAGAATTATAGCTCCATCGTGAATGTTTAACCAAACAGAAAAGGGACCTCACCAAATTAATGGTGTCGAAGACCTGCACCTCTCCGATGGTGGCACTCCCTGGGTACGCCAAATAGCAGTTGTCGTTGTTTATTGACAGCGCACACAAGCCTGTAAAAGTGCATGGTCAAGTCTGAGAGCACGGTCCTTCTTGGTTGTTGGTTATAATTTAGTATCTACTTTAAAAAAAGTACAAATAAAATACCATTGTGATAAGCTAATAGCATTTTAAAAAATTTGGTACTTCCAGCCCACCTTAGATGATGTCAATATTATAAACAGATAAAAGGCCTTTGCTTTGAAATGATCAGTAACCTCAAAATTGAAAGCTGATTAAACCAATGGGCTTATACTGCCACAGACAGACCAGCTTCAGTAGAAAGCTGACTGGTTTAGAACCAAAACTTTAAAAATCTGTCTTATGCCGGGTGTGGTGGCACATGCCTGTAATCCTAGCACGTGGGAGGCTGAGGCAGGAGGATCGCTGTGAGTTCCAGGCCAGCCTGACCTACCCAACAAGACCCTATCTCAAAAAAAAAAAAAAAAAATCTGTCTCATCCACGGAACCTATACAAAGAAAAAAAGAAAAAAAACAACAACAAAACCTTCTCATTTATAGATACTATTAAAAAAAATTTTTTAATAGGCCCAGAGGTAGCCAAGTGCCCAAAGAGGTATTTACCTTACTAAGTCATTAAATTGCCCAGGGTGGCCAAAACTGAAAGATTCTCACAAACCAATTACCTGCAGGGTTTGGGGGGGTCTCCCTGATGGTGTGCAGTACCTTCATATCCCGAATGTTGTGTATGTAGAGAGATTCTTCCAGGCACACAATGAGTCTCTAGAGAGAACACAGAAAATCTAACATGAAGAAATATCCACTACAACATGCGTCCCTGGCTTTCTGTTAACCAAGTTTTGGATTAAGACTCTCCATCCCTCTAGTACACCATGCAGACTGGATGTGAGGCTTGGAGGCAGAAGGCTTCCTACTGCCAGGCGGGGGCACCAGGGCCAGCTGTGTCTGGTTCCACACTGCCTGCATGCCAAGAGTACAGGAATTTGAACTAATGTAACTCACTATCATGCTGAACTAAGGGGAAAATGGGCTCTGGAGAGATTTGGTAAAGGCGGGTTGCTTTTAAAAACTGAGGGCTGGGGATTTAGCTCAGTGGTCACCTGCCTTGAAAGCACAAGGTCCTGAGTTTGATCCCTGGTACCGAAAACAAAAACAAAAAACTGATGCTAAGCTAGACATGAGGATGTGCATTTGTAATCCCAGAACTCAGGAAGCTGAGACAAGAGGATCACTGTGAGTTCAAGGCCAGTCTGAACTATATAGCAAAACCCTGTCTCCAAAACATACACACAAACAAAATTTTTTTTTTTTTTTTGGTACCGGGGATCGAACTCGGGTTCTTGCGCTTGCACAGCAGGCAGTGAAACCAGTGAGGTAAATCCCCGGCCCCCACACAAACAAAATTTTTAAAAATCCACAAAAACATAAAAATTGATACTGAATGAGGCATGGGTAAAGCAAAAATAAAAGCCTGGGAATTTTTTTTTTGGGGGGGGGGACAGGGTCTTCCTATGTAGCTCAGGCTGGCCTCAAACTCATGGCCATCCTTCTGCCTCAGCCTCCCAAGTGCTGGGATTATAGGTGTGGCTGACCATGACCGGCAAGTCTGGGAATTTTTGAAACACATAAAATTTTATTCTGCATGCAGGTTATTTTGCTGCAAGTTCTTGCTCACTTTACAGAAAATGCATGTAGACTTAGAGGATCCACTGAAGGAATCTGGGATGCACACAGTTCTTTGTTGGACAGGAAGGAACATTTGTATCTTAAATTAAAAAAACATTTTTTTTTGGTACTGGAGATCAAACTCAGGACCTTGGGCTTGTGAGGGAGGCGGTGGCACCACTGAGCTAAATCCTTGGCCCTTTCAATTTTTTAAATCTTCAAGCTATTATATGGTATAAATTCCCAGTTTAACCAATTTTGTCAATTAACAGACCAATTCCTGGTTCTAATAAGGCTTGTTTTGGTGAGAAGGCTGCCTTCATCTAGTCCTGACCAGAAACCAGCTCCACCTGTGGCCCTGCTCTGTCCCTGCTCTGTCCCTGGGGCCGAGTCGGCAAATCCCCCCCCCCCCCCCTCCCGCCCCACCGCCCTATACACAGTGCTGCCAAACCCAGGAGACAGGGGCCTCATGGGGCGAGCTTCCGGATTGTGTGGGAACCCATGCCGGGAGGGCTACTCACCAACTGTGACAGGAAACTCACAATTTAATAGACAGAAAAAAAAGAGTCTACAACTGTTTAAAAGTAACATTTATAAAAGCAAAAGGTAAGTAAAAAACTGGGTATCTCTGGATGAGCAAATGGACAGACAGTAAGCTGGTAAGACTCATATCAAAAAAGAATGAGTAAAGCAGTCAGGCAGGGCAAGGGCAGTGTCATGGATGGACAGCTGGGACAAAGCCACTGAGGGAGAGAACAGAGCAGTCAGTCAGTGGGACCTGAGGGCTGGGGACCACCCACTCTGGGAGGCACTGGACTGGAGGACACAGCCATGGCAGGCTGGAAACAGGGCGACAGGGAGCAGTGTGCATGGAGAGCCACAGCAGAGCCTCACTCACCTGCCTGTTGAGCTTTACAGCCAGGATCGTGTTGGAGTAGCTGTAGTTACAGATCTCAGTGCCCTTCTTAAAGTGGCAAACCTTCAGCTTCCGGGGAGCTTTGAGGCTAACAATGGCCACCAAGCTGCTGGAGAACAATCTTTCTACAATGCACACATCTTCAGTGTCAGCTGAAACCAGAACAGAAAAACACACGTGGATACATATATCTCTGAGTCGACAGGCAAAATCTACCCACAGACACAAACGCACCCCTAAGTGACACTTAAAGCAGGGACTTCCAGGTCCCTGGTGTCCCAGCACAGCCCAAAGGGAAATTTCAATTTTCTGGAGTCCTAGAATTGCTGCCACTACAGGTACAGATCATGCCCCTATGTACTCTATGGCCATACCACCCCGAATGCGCTTGATCTTGTCTGATCTTGGAAGCTAAGCAGGGTCGGTCCTGGTTAATACTTGGATGGGAGACAGATAGTGCCCTTATGTGAAGACAAATCACAGAATTACTTAAAAGAATCCCTTTAATTAGCTCTGTTACTGGATTTAATCAGAGAACTTAAAAACACACTTGTTAGTCCAGAAAACCAAACTAATAGATGAAGTGACAGAACAAGATGCGAAAGTCCTTTTATTAAGACATGAACTGCAGAAGGTGTTGAAATTACCATGTTCCACTTTATGACTTTTAAATTGTATGGCAGTGCCAGAATGAGAAGATTTGGTAGAAAGTGTACTTCTGATTCCAAGTTCGCTTCTTTTCTCGGGCTGATGATGTACAGGACAACATTCTGATGGCTGCAGGGCCTCAGCAGTGAGCCAGTCTCAGTCCTGGGATCGGCAGAGAAAGCCTGCACCCCATAGGGCGCTGTGCTGCTGTGGTGGTACTCAGCAGTCAGGCATCGTAAGTGCAGTTCCACTTTTTACATTTTCAAGCCAGGATGGGTCTGTTGGGATGCAACCTCACTGTGAGTGGAGTAGCACCTGTATTTCTTTTTTTTTTTTTTCCTGGGACTGGGACCTTTATTCTTCCAGGGCTGAAGAGTGTGTGGCTCATTTTTAAAGAAATGGGTATGGGTGACAAGAAGGCTCAGTTTTTGCCCCTGGATAGGTGGCCATCAAAGCAATTGACTGGGCACCATGGAATGCATCCTCATTGTCCCAAACAACAATGCCCCAGCAACCTCGAATTTACCAACACCTCAACAGCAGAACACAGACGTATAACACACAGCTCCAAACTAGGAAACATTTACAGTCAGGACCTCTCTCAGCTGTATCCCATGCCCTCACCTCTGCCGGTCACCAGCTCCCGTGGAGCATCCAGTTCCAGTGGTGGTGAACCTTTTAGAGCTTTCAATGATACAAACAGCCCGCTGTGGCACAGGTTTGCCCCCACTAATCTAGGCGCAGGGCTCCTGCTGGGCCTAGAGGCAAGGACAGGGCCACGCCTGGCTGTGCCCTGGTCTAACATGGCCCAGCAGGGAGGAGCAGCTCCTTGGACACTGGAGAGTGGCAGAGCAGACTTGATGGCTGGATTTCGGATATTCCTTAAACACCACTTTAAAGTGCAATCTCTTAAACTGCAACGTATCTAAACACAGGCTACTCTTGTGACGTTTGGTTTTGGTGGAAGTCCTAGTATCCCCAGGTGCTACACCTAAGAAGCAGAACTGCTTTGGCTGGAGCTCGACTGCTTTCATGGCATCATCTGTCCCAGGAAGGCAACAGTACAGGGTGCCTCACTGTGTCCTGAGGGTGCTGTGGTGACCCAGGGGAGCCCCCAGGTAAAACCAGTTTAAAAATCAGATTCTGCTCTTGGCTCTGCTGTAACTAGCTGTCAGGCTTGGCATTAATTTTCTCAATGGTGAAGTAGGAAGGAGCTGGACTGACTCACAGCTTTATTAATTCTAAGACTTGCTGCATACCAAACTAACTGTTTATTAAAAGTAAGTTTTCCTTAAATTCACTGCTCTCCTAAATTAAGCCAGTGATGAAAAGACCTTATTCTCAAATATACTGATCCTCTTTATTCAAATTCTCCATTTGTGAATCTGTCATCTTTGCTAAAATTTATCAGGAACCCCAGAATCAGTGTTCATGGGGCTTTTATGGCTATTTGTAGGCACACGCAGAATGGTGTACAGATTGGAGCCATCCACACTGCATATTCCCAGTCAAGGGCTGAACCATCAAGGAAAGGCAAGGAAATCTGGGGAATTCAGGTAGGTGCCTTCGAGGGGCAGGCGCACGGAAAGGCACTGCAAGGATAGGTATGGTCAAAGCAAGTTATGTTTCCAACTCAGGCACTACGAGGTCCACTGACGGGACAGACGCTGCAGTGGAGACAGGTCACTGAGGAGATGGGTGCTGATGCAGGGCATGGTCATCTGGAGGACAGGGATGGACGACCTGGGGAAGCAGCTGCCTCTCTGGAGCAGGAGGGCACAGAGGCAGGGATCTCCCAGGTAAAGGTGGCCCGAGAACCTCATGGCAAAAGACACATCATCAGAACAATCCAGGGCCATTTGCTGGACTGGGAAGCCCCACAATCCAGAGAACACCAGATCAGTACAAGAGAAGCAGAAAACTCATGACAAGATCCAGTGCTCTCTCTGATAAAAACTCTTTTTTGGGGGTGGGGGTGGTGGTAACCCGGGATCAAACTCAGGACCTTGTGCTTTCAAGGCAGCTGGCGGCACCACTGAGCTAAATCCCTGGCCTGATAAAAACTCTTAAGAGACATATGAACAGGAGCAACTTCTTCAACAGATCAGGGCATTTATGAAAAGTCTATAGCTAGCACTTACATATGGTTCTTCCCTTTGAGACCTGGAACCCAAGAGGGAGGCCAGGATGTCCCCTTTCCTCACCCTGCTCTGGAGGTCTCTCTCACACACAACAGGGACAGAGGAAGGAAAGAAAACACACAGACCCTCCAGGTGTGGTAGCATACACCTGTAATCACAGTACTCGGGAGGCTGAGGCAGGAGGATTGCCCTGAGTTCGAGGCCAGCCTGGACAACATAGTGAGTCCAAAGCCAGTCTGAACTACACAATGAGACCCTATCTCAAAAGCCAAAAAAAGGAAAGAAAAGACAAGACAAAACACAACAGGGACCAAAAGGAAGCTGTCAAACCATCCCTACTGCAAATTTGTTTTTTTTGGTACCAGGGATCGAACTCAGGACCCTGCACTTGTTAGACAGGCGCCAGGACCACTGAGCTAAATCCCCGGCCCTCTACTGCAATCTTTTTTTTTTTTTTTTGGTACCGGGGATCCAACTTGGGTCCTTGCGCTTGCGCAGCAGGCGGCGGAAACCACTGAGCTAAATCCTTGGCCCTCTACTGCAATCTTAAGGTGCCTACAGAAGCAACTATTGGAACTAATAAATGAATTTTGCAAGCCAAAGGATACAAGATGAAAACACAAAAATGAGGCCTGGGCATAGCTCAGTGGTAAAGCACTTGCCTAGGGTGTGTGCTAGGCCCTGGATCCCCCTCATTAAAAAAAACAACAACCAGACAACATCAAAAACAGTGGACCCTCAAGTTACAATCAGCCTGACATAAGAACAAGTTGGGTTAATTAGGTTAATGGAAAACTCATCTGCCTCTTGTTATGTATCACATGTAAATATCCAGGTCTCAGCTACATTGACTTACAACCAACTTGAGTTACAACCAGCCCTTGGGAACTGATTGAGTTTGTAAGTCAAGGGTCCACTGTATAAAGTATCTACTAAAAGACAAGAAAATAGGGGCCGGGGATTTAGCTCAGTGGCACTGCACAAGGTCCTGAGTTCAACCTCTGGTACTGGAAAAAAAAGATAAAAGACAAGAAAGAAGCAAGCCACAGACTATGAAAAAAATAGTCATAGAACATATCTGACAAAGGAGCTCTCTCCAGAATATCCTAAGAACTCTAACTCAATAATAAAAAGACAACCAAATCTAAAAAGGGGAGATCTGAAGAGTCATTTCAAGAAAGAAGATATACAGACAGACAAGCATATGAAAGGAATCAGTATCATTAGTCACCAGGGAAATGCCAACTAAAATCATAATAAGGGCTGAGGGTGAGCTTGTGAGGCCCGGGTTCCAGTCTTAGCATTGCGCATGTGCACACACACATCAGAATGGTGAAAATGACAGTGGCAATGTCAAACGTAAGTGAAAACAATGAAGCTTTATGATGTGCAAGCTTCAGTGGTGGGCACACAAATGGCAGAGCCACTGGGGGAAGTCTGGGGGCTTCTTATAAACTGAGAATGTACTGTCCAACAAGGCCATAGGACAGCTACCCAAGACAAATACAAACACATGCCCACAAGACACACACAGGAACAACCATGCAGATGCCCTCAGTAAGAGCAGACATATGGGGTCACATAGTACATACTGTCACTGAGACACAATGCAGACACACTTCCAGAAATTACACTGAGTGAAAAGTGCTATGTCAGCCTGAAGTTCTAGACAGGTGCAAGTAAACTACAGCAGAAAAAAGGCGGACACTGGTTGCTTCTGAGGATGGAGGGAGCCTGAGGAGCTTTCTGGAACAGTGGCGAGCCTTGACCTCAGAGTTTTGGGCACTTGTCAAAACTCACTATGCATTCCACTGTTACAAGAAAATAAGGAAAATGGCCAAACCCACTCAGATATGCTTGCAGCAGTATTTGGGGACTTCGTCCTGGCCTGCACAATGTCCTCTGGAGCATGCAGTGAGCAGGTGGGTACGAGCTGGAAAGTCCTTTCACCTTTCATGTGTGCTTGAAAATTCCCATTAACAGCCAAGCTGCAACATGTAAAAGTACAAGTTCCCAATGAGAAATGAAAATGTACTGTATACCTAAAATGTACCAATAGAAGAACTGAAGGAAAAAAAATTCCATTAATAAACCTCAATGCAGGCACGGAGAAGCCAAGGGATTTATGGGTCAGAGCAGCAGTGGTGGCCAATCTATGGCACATGTGCCACAGCGGGCTGTTTGTTATCACTCAAAGCTCTAAAAGGTTCGCCATCACTGGTTAGTGTCTGCTTATCTGTCCTACCCTGACGTGTCTTCAAGATAGCTCTCCTGAAATTTTTAATGGAAAAAAAAAATTTCTTTCAGAATTAAAATTTTTTTTAAAATTGGGGCATAACGTAGAGGCAGGAAAGCTTTTTCTAAACTACAAATATTCACAAAAGAGACAATGAAATAAATCTCCACATACCCATAACCTAGATTTCACAAACACTAACTTCTGGCATTTAGTATCAACTACTTTTTCTTGAAGTTTCAATGAAAAGCTCATCATGACCAGCCTGGGCTACATAGTGAGACCCTGTCTGAAAAAAAAAAGAAAAAGTTCATGTTCAGTGCACCCTAAATACATCAGCAAGCAAAATAAGGCCACGAGAAAAATGTCTTTTCCAGACATGGGATGAAAGTGAAAGAATTTTTACATCAGACTGTAGGTGAATCAGCATTTCATGCTACACAGTGAGTTCGAGGACAGCTTAGAATACAACAGCAAGACCCTGTCTCAAAAACAACACACCACCACCACCAACAAAATCAAGACTTCAGACTGGCGAAAAAAGCCATAAAAAAGGCCAAAAACCATGACTGGGGATTTAGCTCAGTGATTCCACCGCCTGCCTCGAAAGCACAAAGTCGCGAATTCGATCCCCGGTACCAAAAAAAGCCAAAAACCAAATAACAACCCAGAAAAAAAATATTTAAACCCACTACCAAAGGCTTATTTGTGTTTTTTTTTTTAATTCAAGGATTACAAATAATCAAAGCAAATGGAGATTTTTTAAAAATCACAGATTTTTGGGCCAGGGATTTAGCTCAGTGGTTCCAGTGCCTGCCTTGCCAGTGCAAGATCCTGAGTTCAATCCCTGGTACCAAAAAAAAAAAAAAAAAAAAAATCACAGATTTTTAAACGGGAAAGT